TTGTGGTTTGCAGCCCGATTCGTAACCACTACGCTACCAGAGCTCCTTGTCCTGGAACTGGGGGTTGCTAAATCCCCTTGTTCTGTAGAGCAGAAGTTAAGGAAGAGGCCTGTTCCACACTGAGAAATGCTGTTATCAGCTCCTGGGAAGGTCTTTCAAGAGAATAGAAAATGAGACCTTTTAGATATGGAGAGATGGGAAAGATGGAATTGCACTTGGCAAAATTCTTTCCTTGGTTGCTTAATTGCCTTACATTTCTTCACATAGTTTCTAGGAGCATATACTCCTGATTTTCCTTCTAATTTACAAGTCCCTCAGTCTGTCTCTTTTGCTGTGTTGTTTTCATCCTCGCAACCCATAAATGTTGTCGTGTCTCTGGGGTTGATCTTCCATCTTTCTGCTCAATCATTGCTCTTCCACCCAGGTTAGCACTTATAACTATCTGAGATTGTTTTATTTGTTTTCTAACATTCTGCTTAACTTCTTTACTAGCATCTAAGCTTTATGAAGTCAGGTTTGCTGTCTTGATTACTATGGAACTATTGGACATAAAGGAGCTCTGGTAGCGTAGTGGTTACGAATCGGGCTGTGAACCTTAAGGTCAGCAGTTTGAAACTTCCAGCTGTTCCGCAGGAGAAAGATGAGGCTTTCTGCTCCGGTAAAGATTTACAGCCTCAGAAACCCTGTACAGGGTCACTCTGGGTCGGAACCGACTCCATGGCACTTAACCAACCAGCCAACCATTAGGACATAGAACAGTGCTGTCTATGTAATAAGCCTTCAATAAAAAATGATCGAATTAATTATGACTGACTGATTGACTGAATGAAAGATTATGTGGATTCTAATGGTGATTAATAACACTTCTCTTTCAATCAAAACAAGGAAAAAATGATTTTTATTCAAGGAGGAGAAGAACTGACTCCTGATATGGCGCGGGAGGATCATCACTGGACTTTGACCTACAAGGTAAGCAGTACCTTGGAAACCCTGTACAGGGTTGTTATGAGTCAGAACTGACCCAACAGCACTTAACAACAACAACAACAACAACAAAAAAACAGGAGGAGAATGAGATTAGAAATCAATACTAGTCTAAAATATTTTTATTTACTTAGATGTGATCTTGTCTGCTATGACTTCAAGGAAAAAAAAAAAAAAAGAAGTGTGGGGTTTACTTTAATTAGTCACAAAGGAATAGATTGAATGACCCTACAATATAAGTTGGGTGTCTGCCAATCTGAGGACTATGCCAAACCAGCTACTTACCTCACATCGGGCTCAGCAGTGGCAGCATGGAGTGGCAGACGACCATTTTTATCAGGGATATTGTGCTTGGCACCATTTCTGAGCAGACTCACACAGCCTTCAAGCCAACCCTGAAATATAAGAGTAGCCACATCATTATGTAACACAAGTTTGCATTACATAGTCCAACAGACTTTCTCAAGTTTTCTTTCTCTTTCATCTTTGACTTAGCTACAATTATGCTTTCTTTTACTTGAAGTGGTTAAGGATCACATCCCTAACTTAGGTACTTCAACAGAGGGATCAAGGTCTTGAAGTGTGAATTCACAAGTTTTGTGGAAGGCCCATTATGCATACTGATTCCTAGAACCTGTCTCCATCTCTCCCTTCTCACTCCTAGGCCCAGTCAGTGATAGTTCACTGCACCAAAACCTAGGCATGTGATAAGAGATGATTAATCATCCCTAGCCTTTCAGCCTGTGGGGTTATCTCTAAATCATTCATGGCAATGGTCTGTCTTAGAGTCACGGTCCAATTTAAAAAATTTTAATTTGACAAGTGAATTTTAACTTCCACCCTATGCCTTCTCTCTGATAAATGGGTTTTTGTCCTGCTTTCTGTTGTAAACACAAGGACAAAGTCTTGCTTATTCTAATAAGTCCCTCTTCCAATACCTAGCATTCTAATCTGAGTCCCACTCCAGTGGTTGGGACCCTGTCCTATTGCTGACTAATTTTTCTGATGCTGACAATTTAAATACCTGAATATGGGGATGTCACCAGCACTATCCAAAGGTTCGCCATTGTTGTGTTTTGTCCACTTAAGGATTCTCCTAGAAACTTTGTGTGGACTCTCTGCTGTCCACTAATACCCCAGACTGAGAACTGATGTTGTCCAACCTGTTCTTGTCCCCTCCTTGGTCAGCTCTTAAAGCTGGGTCATTTCTCTACTATCTCCCATCTCAAATAGTTTTAATTTTAGGCTAGCCCTGATTCTCTGCTCTCTATTCCATACTTATTTTAGTGACTGGCCCAATCCTAGTCACATGCATAGGAAAATTCATTCAGAATCACTTGGCTTACTCACTCAATAATAAAGAGACTCATAAGTAGATAAAACTTCTCTATTTTGTTTAGAAGCAGTCTTTCTGATTTCTGTTTAAAATGAAACCTCAAAATTAAGCTATATTAAGGCAACAAAATGAGAAAAATTAATGAAAAATTCTCCATAAGGCAATATTAGAAGCAGTAAAAATCAGAATGTTAGAAATTCATAAACAAAAAGAAAGATAAAGATAAGGAAAAAATTCTTTTTTTGTGAAAAGTCTGGAAAATAATCTGTTAGTAACAGCACATCATATTGTAATTAATGTCATGAACGAAAGAATATTTAAATTGTTGAATGGAAAATAAACTTCCTATGTAAACTTTTACCCAGATCACACACAAACACACAAAAGCACATAAAAATGCAATCCACAAGTCATATATGTTGTTGTTAGGTGCCATAGAGTTCTGACTCATTGCGACTGTTCCGATATCATCCTCACAATTGTTAAGCTTGAGCCCATTGCTGTTGCAACTGTACCAGTCCATCTCGTTGGAAGTCTTCCTCTTTTTTTGCTGACCCTCCACTTTACCTAGTATAATGTCTTTCTCCAGGGACTGATTCCTTCTGACAATATGTCTGAAGTATGATAGACGAAGTCACGCCATCCTGGCTTCTAAGGAGCATTCTTGCTGTATTTCTTCCAACACAGATTTGTTTGTTCTTCTGGTATTCCATGGCACTTTTACTAATGATTCTTCTCCAACACCACAACTCAAATGTATCAATTCTATGGTTTTCATATTCACTGTCAAACTTTCACATGCATATGAGGTTATTGAAAATACCATGGATTGGGTCAGGCACACCTTAGTCCTCAAACTGCATCTTTGCTCTTTTTAAAAAGGTCTTGTGCAACAGAGTTGAATAATGCAATATGCCATTTGGTTTCTTCACTGCTGCTTCTATGAGTGTTGATAGTAGATCTAAACAAAATGAAGTCTCTGACAACTTCAATCATTTCCCCACTTACCAAGATGTTATTGGTGCAGTGGTGAGGATTTTTGTTTCTTTATATAGAGACACAACCCATGCTGAAGGATGTGGTTTCTTTATCTTCACCAGTAAGTATTTTAAGTCTTCTTTGCTCTCAGCAAGCAAAGTTGTATCATCAACATAGCACAGGTTGTTAATGAGTCTTCCTCCAATCCTCATGCCATGTTCTTCTTCATATAATCCAACTTCTTGGATTATTTGCTCTGTGTACAGATTGAATAAGTATGGCAAAAGAACACAACTCTCTTAACTTTAAACCATTCAGTGTCCTCCTGTTTTGTCTAAATGACTGACTCATGTTCTATGCACATTTTTCCCAGATCACAATTAAATGTTCCAGAATATTCATTCTCTGCAATGTTGTCCGTAGCTTGTCATGATCCACACAATCGAAAGCCTTTGCATAGTCAATAAAGCACAGGCAAACATCTTTCTGGTATTCTCAGCTTTCAGCCAAGATCCATCTGACATCAGCAATGATATCTCTCATTCTATGTCCTCTTCTGAATCCGGTTTGAACCTCTGGCAATTCTCTGTCAATGTACTGTTGCAGTCATTTAAAAATTATCTTTAGCAAAATTTTACTTTCATGTGATATTCATGATATTGCCTAGTTGATTTTTGACAAATGTTCCAAGTCCATTCAATGGAGAAAAGAATAGTTTCTAAACACGTGGTACCAGGATAACTGTATCATCACATTCAAAAGAAAACAGCTGAACTTTTGCCTTAAACCATATACGAAAGTGAATCTAGAAGCTAAACAGAGGAATGAAAACCATAAAACTCTCAGAAGAAGAAATAAGGGTTAAGCTTTAAGATCTTGTTTGTGACAATGGATTCTTAGATGTGACACCAAAAGCAACAAGAGAAAAACAAATATATAATACATAAATGAATTGTATTTCATTAAATTGAACCTTTTTTATACTTCAAAGAACTTTATAAAGAGACTTTACAATGAGACAACCTACAGATTTAGAGACCATATTTGGGAATCATAGATCCGATAAGGGTTTAATATCCAGAATATACAAATAGATATACAAACGGCCAGTAAGCAAATGAAAGGATGTTCAACATCATGTTTGTTAAATGCCATTGAGTCAGTTTTGACTCATAGTGATACTGTATAGGGTTTCTAAGGAGCAGTTAGTTGGTGGGTTCGAACCATCAACTTTATGGCTGGCAGTCCAATTCTGATTCCACAGCACCACACCAGGACTTTGTTAATCATTAAGAAATGCAAATAAAAGCCACATTAGGTTACCACTTCACACCCACTAGGAAGACTTCTTTCAGAAAAATGGAAAATGACAGAGGTTGGTGAGAATGTAGAAAATTTGGAACCCTTGTGCTTTGCTGGTGGGAATGTAAAATGGTACAGCTATTGTGGAAAACAATTTGGCGGTTCCTCAAAAGTTAAATATACAATTACCCTCTGATCCAACACTTCTACTCCTAGGCATCTACCCAATAGATTTGAAAGCAGAAATTCAAACAGATACTGTACACCAGTGTTAATCGCAAAATTATTCACAACAGCCAAAATGTGGATACAGCCTAAGTGTTTGGTAATAAATGAATGGATAAACACTGGCATGTTATTCAGCTACAAAGACAATTATGTTCTGATACATGCTGTGGCATGGATGAATCTTGAAAACATTTGCTGAATGAAATAAGTCAGATCAACAGATAGATATTGGATGACTCCACTGAGATGAAATATCTTGTTGTTGTTGTTAAGTGTTGTC